AGTTGTACTAGCTCACATGCCGATTCGTACCACTTTTGATTGTGTTATTTGAACTAATTAGAATTATACATTTTCTGATTATCAATGAAAGCACACGTTGAGGATTAAAAACACGTATTGTTGTAACAAAGTGAAGTATTAATTTTTGAGCAAACTGTATTTGATCTAATAGTGTCGGTTACTATGTTAAGCCCATATAACTTTTTCTAGCTTCTGAATAGGTCAATATATCCATTCTTCTTGAGTCATGTTTTGACCTTGTTAATTATTCACTTAGCAACCTTGACTGTTTTTATATGGGCGTATGTATGTGCCCTTCTTATCCTATTCATCACATATCTGTAGCTTATTTTTGCGTGACTGTAAATACTGATTAAAGCTTGATTAAATGGCGTCGGCATACATGCCGTCTCCACTGCACAGCATTCCGTTTCGTCCCTCTGATTGTCTGTTCAGATAAATGATTTTACAAAATATATGTATTCGAAACCCACTTTCGTAGTTGACTTATTTAATTCCATTATTTAATAACGCAATTTAATTCAATAACTTTATATACGAAAATAGTCAGGATGTATATTTCAATAACAATCAATTATAAAATCTCACTGAAGTCAGATATTGGGCTACAATCTAATTAGAATTATTAACTGGATGGTATATTTGTAGATATTATCAAGTTTTACTGCGCAGCAGTTCGTTCCGTCCTACTTTATGGCAGTGAAACATGGCCGGTAAGAGTAGAGGATATTCGTAGGTTACTAGTATTCGATCATAGGTGTCTTCGAAACATTGCTCGTATATCATGGGATCATCGAGTAAATAACGCAGTTGTTAGGAAACTGGTACTAGATAAGGATGGCAAATCTATTGGTGACGTAGTGAAACTTCATCAGTTGAGATGGCTGGGACACGTGTTACGTATGCCCAACCACCGACCGCCTCGACGTGCGATGTTTCATGGTGTAGGAGTAGGTTGGAAGAATGTTAGGGGAGGCCAGATCAAAACATGGCACAAATCCATGAAGTCACTGACAAAGGGACTGAGCCATGTTGGTAAGTGTAGACTACCTGGTTGGGGACCGCGAGATGATAGCGACTGATGGTTAGAGACCCTGAATGACATGGCTCAAACTCGTTTGCAATGGCACAGGTGCATCCTCTCTTTGTGTTCTCCCAAATTCTAATCTCCTGAATCCTCCTCGTCTCTTTTTTTCTATTTCCAAATTTGTTTCACTGAATTATACTCTTTGAATAACATCTTCAAACTCTAATCTTTCTGATTACTGCTTAAACTCTTACCGCCTCTACCACTACGGGATTTAAATCGACAATTGAATCTCTGTGCTAATGTGGTATGGCAACTCGAACTGATGTACGTACGTACATACGAAGTTCTACGTTGTTACTGACTGACTGATATATTATTAAGTGATAATTAATAATTCGATGGAATTAAAATCAGTGATCTTTACGAGAGAGAGAGAGAGAGGTAAGTGGGGGGGGGAATGGCCTAAATTATCAACACTTCTAAATTGACTAGAAAAAAAAAGTTTTCTATCGATGCATTGAAATTGGACTAAAAACTTTATTAAAGTTGAACTGGTATCTAAAGAAATACCATAAACTTTGAGGACATTTTGAACTGAATAATTAATTAATTAATTAATTTGATTACATATATATAAAGAAATAATAGATATGTTAAAATGATAAGAAAATTTCTTTTCGCTTTTCGTCATTTCAACCTCGAACTTTCTGGAATGATGAGATAATCTATTTTCTTGATCTATCTCTCTTCATATATACATATGGGCATATCTTTCTATCTATCTCATCATCTATCTATCCAACTATCTGTCGATGTACTTATGAAATAATTAACTTATGACATAGTTATCATTTAAATAAATCATTCAAATAAATTATAAAAGGAAATAGTGAATTTCATTTGATGAATGAACACATTATCAAAAATTTTTGAAAAAAATTCCCATATTTTAAATTTAGAACAATATAGATATAAGCGAACAATATTGTTTTCGATTAGATCCTCATTAGGCTTTACTCTCTCGCATGAGACTGATAGGTCCTGGGTTCAAATCTCCCGGGGGGGGGAGATCGTGGATGGGCACTGATGAGGAGTTCCACAATAGGACAAAACGATCATTCAGTGCTTCCAGGTTTTTCATGGTTATCAAGCTTCAATTGACTCATGATTACGACTAATGAAATTACTACAATCTCCACAAAACCCCTTCTGATACAGTAGTATTTATATGCATATACGAAATTATTAAACCAATCAAGGTAGTTTATGAATCAATGATAACAGTGGAATAGATTAAATAATAAGTGAAAAGTACAAATTGATAGTGTGATGATAGCGGTCATGTAGTGGACAGAAAGAAGTCATTGAAATTTATTTATTGTATTCCTACTAGTTTTCCTTATGGTGTTCGATCTCGTCTCTTACACATAGCAAAAGCTATAAGAATTCGAGCCAACAATCCAACACTTTGTGTTCATAAGAAATTTGTAACAACCTTATCTCTCCCTTGGCCTTAATAAATGAATTTATTCAGTATTATTTCGTATGCTCTCTGTTTGTTTATTTTTCTTCACCCCCTCCCACCATTTTGTTTTTTTTTTCTCTCAAATATACGCTTCACGGTCCAATTATCTGAACACTTCTTATTACCCGTTTTTAAAGATCCCCATAATATTTAAAGACTAATATTTGAACGAAGAATATTCTTTTCGATAAATTCTCTTCAGGTTCTACAATTCAATATATCCAAATTAATAATCCGAAAGATGATCAGGTTAAGGGTAAAGTAAATCGTTTAAAGCATGTGAATTTAGGTTTGTCAAAGAAAATACAATAAAATTATTCATGTTGATAAGACCCATATGGAATGTTAACTTGTAACTGTATATATGTTAAGTGAATTTGTTAAGATACATGATCAGAATAAATATGGGTCAGGTAGGGTGAGAGAAATAATAGTGTAATTACAATTCGGTCAAATGTTTAATGGAAGACTATATTGTGTGAAAAATGAATAAGGCATAATAAGGAAGGATGAATGAGAAGCGAATGAATAATGTAAAGGGAAGATTAATAATAATAAACCAATAAAATAATAATTAAACAAAGATTTGTGAATAAAGATAACAGAGACAATTAAAATTGCTGAGGAGTCCCATACTAGAATGAAGCGGCCGTCCAGTGCTTCCAGGTTTTCCATGGTGGTCCAGCTTCAATTGACTCATGATTACCATTGATTAATTGCCCTTGATGTTTGCCAAGGGGAGGAGGAGCGGTTGGAGATATTTTTTCTGTACACATAGCTCCGATTTCTTCATCCAGATAGCCACTGATATCACACTACCAATCTGTACTTTTCACTTATTATGTAATCTTTTCCATTGTTATCACTGACTCATAAACTATAAGTGTCGTGTGTTTCTGAAAAGTAATACTTTTATCTAATAATAGTTTGATCGTCTTCCTTAAGTTGTACAAGTATTAATTTCAGATGTAAGATGGTGTTCTGCGGTAGTCGACAGAAAACCCTAGAATAAGGTTTCATGGTGTTTGACACTTATCAGCATGGTCGATATGTAATTCTAAGATGGCTGATGTTTGCTGGAGATTCTATTTTGGATCTTCCAGTCCCACAGCCAAAGACGTTATCACTGACCCATTTTAGGTAGCGACCGACCTTCTGCAAGTTTTTGCAACTCTCACTTTTACGGACGTAAAGTATAACAAAGAGAGGTTCATAAAAATTTGTACCGGACCCGAGGTTATTAATGGATGGCAAATAAACCAATATTATTATCATTATACATCAGTATAGGGGTTGTGGAGATTAATAAATTTTTGATTGAGATCATGAACCGATTGATATTAGACCACCGTTGAAAACCTGGAAGCACTGGAAGGCCATTCCGTCCTATTGTGGGACTCCTCAGCAGTGCGCATCCATGATCCTGCCCGCGGTATTCGAACCCAGGACCGTCAGTCTCGCGCGCGAACGCCTAACCCACTGGGCCATTGAACCAACGTCCAACGGTGCTAATGTCTAAGCTCGACCAATCCACGAAATTGTGCGATCATCTTCCATTGTACTGAAGTAGATACCTGTCTCTACCCAACACGGATTAGCTCCACTGGTCATGGCTTCTCATTAGAACTCCAAGGATTCCCTCATGAAGCTAGTCACTAGTGAGTACATCAGTAGAGGGGTTGCGATGATTACTAAGTTTTTGATCGGGATCATGAACCGATTGGTGTTAAACCATCATTGAAAAAATAGTAAACTTTATGTGAATTCTCATATATATATATATATATTTATTGAACAACGTAATGAAAAGAAAAACATGTAGCGATGAACAACTAAAGAAATTCTCGATAAAAAAATCAACCGTTTTACTACATATGCATGAAGTAAACAACAACATATCATATAGTGTAAAATGATGAAAATGAACAAACTACATCGGCTAAGTGTAATTATTTCTATCTGTTGCACAAAAAAGAAATGGAATTCAAATATAAAGTTATATAGTCCATGACATAATGACACTTATGATAGGATACCCATCTATATATATATACTCAACATAATTTAACCAACCAAGAAACAACAGTAAAAGTAATGTTTATATATATCTGATCAAATGATATCTAAAACGGTTATCAATTAAGGAAATACATACTACTGTTATTTTTAATAGTAGTAGTAGTAGTAGTAATATTGTCACATGATTGAGTAACACTAGTTTATTCATTGTATAGAACAGCAACAACAACACAAAAATAGATTAAACATATACATAAGTTAGAAATTGTGCAAAACATCACAAAATGTTCATATGAAGTAGAGTAAAAAATAATAAAACTAAATAAGATAAATAGCTACTATGAAGTTTCACATTTATCCATCCATCCATTCATTCATTCATTTATTCACTGTGCATAATCTCAATTAACCTTCATGATCTAAAATGATAAGTAAAAAATGGATAGTTTAATAGAGAAAATAGAATCGGAAGGGGTTTTGTGGAGATTGTAGTAATTTCATTAGTTGAGATCATGAGTCAATTGAAGCTAGACAACCATGAAAAACCTGGAAGCACTGGGAGGCCGTTTCGTCCTAAATGCGGCCTAGGCATGTAACCACTAGTCTACGTGACTAGATATTGTTTGAAACTTTGTTTATGACATGACCGATTAGAAACAATCAGTTGATCTCTTGTTGGTTGAAATCTGTTAGTATAAATGAGAACACAGTTAGTTGCGGCTAGAATAGCTCAACTGTTATGTATGTAAAAGAGGCCATCCTTTTTTTGTCATAATAAGTTAGCGAACAAAAACGTACTTGAATGAAGAATTGTAGTGAACGAGAACACAATTAGGGACAACCAAATTTACAGAATCTCTTAGTAAAATCTGAGAACCATACTGTAAATACTTAATTTGCGAAATATCCGTCAATCGTCTTAAACTTTGCTGTTCCTTCATTTTCATATTAATCACTCTCTGTCCCGTTTCTCTTTTATTCTATCTTCTGAACATTCTGTTGCCAGGCATTTCATTTTCGACTGATGATAGATACTACTGATATCTGTCGACATCCGTAGCACACAGCACAGAATCAATTAGTGCATGTATTGGCATTTCTGGATTAAAATTCCATTAGTATTAAGGATTAGACAATATGTTGTTGACAATTACACAATGATGAATTAACAGTTCCATATTTGATTTACATAACAATCAAATATCGTCTTTAGATATAAATCCATATATTTATTTCCTGTCAATATCATATACAATAAGTGCCTTGTAGGTATTTGAATTGCACTATACATCGAAATATATTTCATTATGATACTTATTACCTGGATTTACATAGCGTAAAACTATTCCATATTTTCTCAACATTATAATAAGTTTTAACTCATTAAAATCAAATAGTAATTCCGCTTAGTAACAAACTTTGTGTAAACAACTTCAATACAGATTTCCGTGTTAAAAATCGATGATATTTCACAGTTAGCCATCTAATGATTTCAAGTCAATAGTTTTAATCATTTTTTATTCTCATTGTAATTGTCAAAGTAAATATCATCATAACCAATGCTTGGTTTATAAACAGTAGAATTAATAACTTTAGATCAGTTACATCACTATAAAGATTACTTAAAATTTATTTGTTTTGGATGTGAATAAATGTCTATAAGGGCAAATACGGTTCTTCGTGTGTGTGTGTGCGCGCTGCTAAGGAGTCCCATACTAGGACAAAACGTGTGTCCTAGATTCCACTGCTAGCCACCATCCATCACAGCTTATAATGGTTGTGACTTAAGGCGATAGCGAGGCATTACGCACAATATGCACATATGCCAATAAGAGACTGATTAATTGCAGTCTTAAACATCGATTGGAAGATTCAAACAAACAATATCAAATGAATTAATAATATTAATTGTTGGATAAATTCAATATGAGGAACAAACTATTATATAATAACTGACATATAGAAACAAAATAATAAAACAATTTGAGAAATATAACCTGAATTTTGAGGTTTTTCAACGTCTGCTTCCTCCTTGATGATACGAAAAAAATAGAATAAAATAACTCATAAAAATTAATATAAAGAAAATTACAGAAGAATTATGTAAACTATAAATGAAGTAACTATGACATTATTCAAGGAAAAAAAGGCACACATACATATGCAACGAGAGCCAGAATGAACATCAACTCTGAGATGCAGGTACATCCAGCTGATGAGTCCCAAATAAGACGAAACGTGCGTTCTGGATTCCATTGCTAGCCACTATCCATCTTTGCTTGTAATTTACCCTTTAATTGTTGAAAATCTAAATCTTTCAATTATATATGTATATATATATATATATATTCACAATTGATTGATGATTAAGTCGTGACCAACATAATGCCTTTCAAGTCCTTGTTGGTATTAATTGAATTCTATCGATCGAACACCTTAACAAAGGCCACGCTATGTTGAGTCATTAAAAACAGTATTACAATTTGATTGATAGAACTCGATCAGTACTAGGAAGAACTTGGCACACATGACAATGGTCATAACTTAGTCCTACAGAAGATCAGCCACTACCCGAACAACTCAGCGATAACGTCTCTGACTACGAAGCTGGATAACACGGGATAGAATCCCCAGAAAACATTAGTTCCCTCAAGATTACACGTACACCATGCTGACGAATACCAAACTGTATGAAGCTTAGGTCTAGGGTTTTTCTTCGACTATCTCTGCGGAATCTTGGAGATGTAGTACTAAGAAAAAATGACAGTCTAGTGTCTTAAGGTTTAGTTTCAGATTTGTTACATTTTGGTGATTGCAGTGACTGAGTCGTTCAAAATATAAAGTCATGAGTTTAAATTCAAATGTAAACATTAACCTTACTATCCAAATACATACAATCGATCAATCCAAATTGAGATGAAACATACGCTTTGGATTCTTTTCCTACTGACTATAGCAAAATGAACAACAACTTGTAACTAAAGCCACTTTTGAGGAATTAACGAATAAATAAACAAAACCTAAATATTCCTGAATAACAACATGTATATAAGAGTATCAAGCTCTCATAAGTAATTCATTATAGACATTATTTAAGTAACAGACAAGTGAAGTGTTATGTCGGTTAAAACTGTGTTAAATAACAAAATATGCAATTTAATTAACGGATATGACAAAATCATAATGGGATTTTCTAAATTAAAAAAGGTAACAGTATTCGTATTATCCACTGATGATATGCCCATTAAATACAGTTCCTTCATTTTTTTTTCTCGAAAATAAAATTGTTTTCTCTTTCCGGTCGTGTTTTTTTTTCTTTCTTTTTTTCTTTCTCGTCGTATTTCAATATAATATATTGAAATATTTTATGCGAAATATCCAAATGAACAATATAATATTCAACAGTTATGAATGTTTGTTTTCCTGGAGTTCTAGTGAGAAACAGTGACCAGTGATGTTCAACCGAGTCAGTTGTGAGATCGTAACTCACTGAAGACAATGGTGGACGTGTGGTTCAATGTCGTGGATTGGTTGAAGTTAGACATTGACACCGTTGGATGCCGGCTCAGTGGTCTAGAGATTAAGTGTTCGCGCGAACGACCTACAGGTCATGGGTTCGAATCCTGCAGGGCGGGGGCGTGGATGAGCACTGCTGTAGAGTCTCATGCTGGGACGAAACGGTTGTTCAGTGCATTTAGGTTTTACATAGTGGTCTAGTTTCAACTATTAAATTAATATAATATCCATAGAAACCTCTTTCTGATAACAATATAATATTAATAGTTGTCAATGTTTGTTACTATGATAGTTACTAAATTTCATATTAGAATGAATGAACAGTTTCATAGATAAATGGAAAAAAAAGAATACGTGACGTAGACATTTAAACACATAAATAACACGCTTCCAATCATAATAAAGTAAAAAAGGAATGCGAAAAGGGTAACATTTAAATATTGAATGTGGATCTTTTAAAATAATTTGAATTAAAATTAAAAATGGTAATATATTGATTATAATGAAGGAAGATCTGTAGCTTAGATGAATGATTTAGGCATTGTTGAATGATCTAGGGTATATGATTTCATTGAGGAGTTTTGATTGTCGTCGTGTGTCCACGTACTTACTCATGTATTGTGACGTTTTGTTTTATGTATAGATGTGACCTTTTTATTCTCGATTCCTACAGATGTACATTCAAATGATCGTTGGATTATAGGTGACACGATTATTATTTGTTATTTACTGTGGTTTTAATGTCACACAAGTTTCTACTGAATTCCTATGATTCACATCAACTACAACAACATTGTTTCAAATGACACTACAGTTGTAACAGCTCACATGCCGATTCGTACCACTTTTGATTGTGTCATTTGAACTGATTAGAATTATACATTTTCTGATTATCAATTGAAGCACACGTTGAGGATTAAAAACACGTATTGTTGTAATAAAGTGAAATATTAATTTTTGAGTAAACTGTATTTGATCTAATAGTGTCGGTTACGATGTTAAGCCCATATAACTTTTTCTAGCTTCTGGATAGGCCAATATATCCATTCTTCTTGAGTCATGTTTTGACCTTGTTAATTATTCACTTATCAACGCTGACTGTTTTTATATGAGCGTATGTATGTGCCCTTCTTATCCTATTCATCACATATCTGTAGCTTATTTTTATGTGACTATAAATACTGATTAGCGCTTGATTAAATGGAGTGAGCTCAAATGCCTTCTCCACTGTGTGTTGTCTCGCTTCACTCTCTTCTATTCGCTTCCTTCGCTTTGTCCCTCTGATTGTCTGTTCAGATTAATGATTGTACAAAATGTACGTATTCAAACATCCATTCTCGCATTTGACTTACTGCTTAATTTCGTTATTCACTAACGCGATTTAAGTCGACGATTATATACGAGGATTGATGATATATCTATATATCAATAGCAATCAGAAACGATCTGACTAAAGTCAGATCCCGGGCTACTAAAAGTTCTACTAAAGTATTGATAAGATCCAATCATGTTAATTATGTGATTAAAACAATTGGTGTTATTGAATAATGATTAAATAATTGAGAAAATTTAAAAATGAAACTCGTCAAATTCAGTTGTTCGAAATCTTGTTTTCGGTCTCATGTTAAATCTTGAATGTACATTGATAAATCATTTATCAAATCACTAATACATTAGAATCTTCTATAGAAGATTCTTGTCAGTAAGACAGCATATGATTACCTATGATCTATTACATTTATTCAATAAAACATAACTAATAGATAAGATCTAATGATATAATGGATCATAATCTCATGAAGGAAGAGAAGTAAAGTAACAATACTTATATTGAATGAATCAGGTAGCACTAGTTCATATTACTCAATCCGGATTAACATACGTGCTACATTTATAATTCTAATTTTAATTGAACTATCCTAAGAAAAATTGTATATACATCAAACACAAAAATAAACCAACAATACATGAAATTGTCAAATATGTTTCATACAACTAATCAGAGCGAATTTTAAAATAAAATTATCAGAATGGAGATTTATGGAGATTGTAGTCATTTGACAATTAGATTCATGAGTTGATCTAAGCTAGAACACCATGAAAAGCTGGAAGCACTGGACGACTGTTTCGTCCCATTAAGAGACTACTAAGCAGCGCACATCCATGATCCCGCACACGGGGCTCGAACTCAGGAACTTCGGTTTCGAACATGAACGCTTAGTTGCAATCTCTCACACTCATAGCCACTTTTGGACTGATCTTGTATAAATGTTATGTTTTATTTTATGGTGTAATGTAGTTTGGTTTGTCTCTAAATAAACTACGCATTTCTGAAACATATTGTTCATATAGTGGAGGCTGAGATTGTGTTCTGCACTTAACAAGCAGAGCTAGGCAAGAAGGAGTAATAAGGATTCAGAGTTGATGTAGGGCTGCTAGTGCTTGTTGATGTGTCATTCGTTTATCATAAGAACAAAGTCATATAGGTCGATATTCTGACTGCCGGTTTTGTCACGTGATAATTGACAGGGGTAAAATTCATAACAAATCATTTACTGTCGGCATAAGCAAAATTCCTCAATATCGTACTTCCGTTGCAAGTTACCTACTTACATGTGATACCCCTCGTTAAACACGGGCCGTTAACTAGGATTCTCCAACAACCTTTGTTTTGGACTCTTTTCTTTGGCTCTGCCTAGAGACCTTCTAGGGTTACTGTAGGCTTCAAGCCCGGTCAGAAGATTATAAGGTTAACAACATAATCCCACAAAAAAGAACTTTGTCAGGAAAACACTAACCAGTTACAAGTACTTTGTATATTTAGATTTTGAATGTCAGCAGAAAAGAGGAAGCGCGTTTCATCTTATTCAGGACTTGGTAGCTAGATTGCTAACAGATGATAATCAATTATAATCCTTAAAATCAAGGCTCCCCCTAAAAACTATCAGGTTATCTGATTATTATAAATTTTTAGGAAGATTATATACTTCTGTGAATTTATAACTGAAGCAGATATTGTTCATTTCACCTAGTCCAACAACTAAACTTACGATGAATTCTATTTTCAGGAAACAATACACATAATATTAAGTCATACAGACCTAGAAATCACAAAATCCAACTTGATTAATGCAATCTATTCAGACATTTGAAAGCTAAATATATACATAAAACTGGCTATCATTGAATGATCAATTTATGTCATTATATATGAAGCCAATGTCTTTATGTAGATAAATTACTTTCAAAGAAAACGATCCATATTAAAATGAAAATAGAATACACTCAGTGAAATATGTCAACAATGCGTCACGACAACTTACATCTTTTCTAGGTGTTCGTTCAGTTGTTTGCTCCTGGAAAAAAGAAAGAAATCAATAAGATAAGAGTTTGAGAATGTACCGCTTATAAATTTAAATGAGTTTATATTTTACAAATAAATTGATGAACAAAGTGACCGGTATAGCTGACATGCAATTTAGATAAATGAATGATAGTTGAGTTCATGAGTTCATTAAAGCTAGATCACCATGGAAAATCTGGATCGATTGAAGTTAGACATTAAAACTATTGAATTCCAGCTTAGTGGTCTAGCGGTCAAGTGTTCGCGCGCAAGATTAAAGGTCCTAAGTTCTAAACCCTTGTGTGGGATCGTGGATACACACTACTGAGGAGTCTCACAATAGAACGAAACAGCTATCCAGTGTTTCCAGGTTTTCCATGGTGGTCTAGTTTTAATCGATTCATGAATTCAACTATTAAATTATCACACTCCACAAAAACACTCAACCTGAAAAAACGATAAACTGAATAAACAAAACAAATTAATTCAACTATGTCCATGCAAGTTAATAAATATGGAATTTATGAAATTAACCATTTATTAAAGAGAATAGATTGTGTGAAAATCAAACTAGCAATATAGTTTTGATTAAAACACGACGAAAGAAAGAAATGGTATAGAAGAATGGTTTTCGTTTGAAAATTTATTAACTTAACAAAATTTAAAATCCTGTGAAAGAACATTTTTAATAAGATAAAATTTTCATGTTCTGAAACATTTGTTCCTCAAGGTCCTATCATGCAAGACAAATTGATTAAAGAGCAGTAAGACTAAAAGCAACAAACCCAAGGACCGAAGACGAAGTCGTACTCCCGACTATGAAGAGGTGTGACGGCAGTAATGTGTTTCCTTCAGACAACCAGCATAGCACCGATGCTGCCTTTCTACGAAAAAAGGATTCGGTTAGAAAAGATCGACCTTAAAAATGCACACCTCGCCTTATCCCACAGATTTCCGTCTCCGGTGGTAAGGTCTCAACAAGTACGGAGCTAATATGAAAATCACTCACAAAAAGTTGTGTGTGACCGACATCAAGCAGTTATCTCTTGGGCACTACGGTTAAATTCTCAGGTCACTATGAGCACCCCTAACTCAATCTCCTCTTCAAGTACCTCTAGAAGAACCCTTCCACGATGTGTGCAGCCTGGAAGTGATAACCGACCTCATACTTCTAACAACACTGAAGATTACTGACTGACGAAACGCGTGTCTCAGATTCCATTACTTTTCAACCATCCATCTTCACTTATAATGGTTATGACTGAAGGCTATATTGAGGCAATCAGTACAAGATGCACATATACTCATAAGTTACTGGTCAATTGCAGTCCTAAACATCAATGAGAAGATTCAACCAATCAACAGAAAAATGAATTTAGACATTGATATACTTATAAATATAAAGATGATTAAAGATGAATATGTATACCATGATGCAGCAAAGATTTCAATAGAGTTAATAAGTATCAGAAGGGGTTTTGTGGAGATTGTAGTATTTTCAACAGTTGAGATAGTGAGTCAATTAAACCTAGACCACCATGGGAAACCTGAAAGGTCAAAAAAAATTTATTTTCTCTTCAGTGTTTACAATATATGGAAATTTGAAAAGTTGAATGATCTTATCAATTACAATTTCATGCAAACAGATACTTACATCTTGAATATACAAAAGGGATAACAAAAACATGCACAATATCAAATAATAACATGTAATTTTTAAAAAAAAAATATCACACTGACAACAAATAATTATGGGTTGAAGTGTTCAATAACAATAAATAACAAACATGAATAAGAAAAGAATACACATGCAATCTGAATTAAGTACTATGATGATAGGTACCGAAAAGTACAATTAGAAAGACTGAGTATATCCACTTTCATGATATGGTGGTCAACCATGAATTTCTTAGTCATCCAGTCGAACTTTATTGACTAAAGCAATCATTTTAATCTATGACTAACAAACAATAAATCCATTTACGATATTGACAGAGAATTTCCATTTCATTGAGATCATGAACCGATTGATGTTAGAACACCGTTGGAAACCTGGAAGCACTGGACGACCGTTTTCTCTTATCGTGGGACTCCTCAGCAGTGCTCATCCACGATATGCGCACGAGACTGGGTTCGAATCTCGCAGGGGGGGTGAGATAGTGAATGCACACTGCTGAGGAGCCCCACAATAGGACAAAACGGCCGTCCAGTGCTTTCCTGTTTCCTATGGTGGTCTAGCTTAAACTGACTCATGATCTCAACCATTGAAATTACATTTTGAATGTTTAGTTTCCACTGTGATTAATAAATACCATAGCTACTATTATTTAAACACTTTCATTTTTAATATTGTTCACTTTTATTCTCTTTAGCTAAGTTTGTGAGATTGCAATGACTTGAGATTGAATCTTCATTTGTTTTCAGTCAATGAGTTATACATATTTATATGAGCTTTCTACATGCAAAGGATAACAAAAGTAGATAAGCTATTAAAAAGAAACAATCTTGTGTACACCATAACATTTTACTTTTTCTAAATGCACTACCCTGATACGGTGAGCTAGGCATTACATTAAAGCGCTAAAATATACTTTGATGTCAATAAGCATTTATAATTTAATCAGTATTTATATACTTAGTGCATATATATACGCTTATTTCGGTAAAGCACCCATTTAAATAGTGGCAAACTTATGTTCCAACCGGAAAAACTATTTAGAACAATCAGATAATTGATATAATAAAATACAATTGTTTGAAAGTAATCGGAAGTATATGTGTATACATTTTAACTTAGTTTATTAACAACAAATTACGATCACAGAAACAAATTTTAAAAACCCAATAGTAGTCAGTATCGAGATGGCGGAGAAGATTTGTAGTTCAGATGGATAATTTTGATGAGGTCTTGTTCTCTGGGTTGGATGATTTGTTCGTGGAGCCGACTACTTTCATCGTTCTTCTGAACGACATCATTAGTACAAACTTCAGGTAGAAGTAAAGTTTGTGCTGATGATTTCGTTCAGAAGAACGATGAAAGTAGTCGGTATCATTTCAACAAGATAGATTTGCAGCTTAGATAATGTTATTTATTCTTCAGTGAAACGAGTTGAAATTTCTCATGTAGCTTTGTTTGCATCAGAAATATCCATAGAAATTTATTCATCATTATCAATAAACAGACCATTTCACCGTAATGAACTAATCAGGACAGAGAGAGTGATATAAAATTCATAGTGGATATGTAAAAAAAGAATATTAATCATCAAACGTCTGCTGATAAATTCTTAAGAGAATGTCATAATTTCCTATTTATAGAATGTTGAAGTGTCCATATGAATCTTCGGAGATAAGAGTCAGATCATGAAATTGCTGTTCGTCAATATTATTTCATCAACCCTTCAACAAGATTGGATATTAATAAATAAATGTAGATATGATCAAATGAATATTCATATCTGCACATCGGTGACTTAATTTTCTAAGGAACAGGCATATATACATGAAAAAGATTGCACGTACATAATCGATTGGTTATACCCAGTAAACTTCCTTTTCGGCTCCCAGTAGCCGGTTATGGATTGTATGTAGGAAGGTCGAATATCAGTATGAAAACTTCATCAAAATATTCACAAATTTCTACTACCTTATTTTAGAGGGAATGTTAGACAAAGCGAGATTTATAGCTCAAGTGGATGATTTTGATGAAAATGAGTTCTGCTATTCCGACGAGGCTATAATTTATGGACGAACCAATTAGATAACAGGTCTTGGATTTTGGCGCGGAATTTATTCATTCATTTGGCTAAATGGAGTTTTGGCATCATAACTGATGTCAGTTCGTGATGAAAACCCTAAATCTAATTCCTTACCATCAACTGTAAATCACAATCTTTATCATTCACACTGGTTCCAAATCCTCATTTAATCTTAGTCAGTAGGTGGACACTCTCAAGGTCACTAAGGTGTCGCTCAAAGGTCGTCCATAAATTATAGTCTCACCGTTAAAGATATTTTTTTCAAAAAGTAAGGAAGGGTCAACATTATCTACAACGTTTTCAATCCTTAATCAGCTTGCTGTACTTAACACTTTCAATCATTCTCCCGTTCATTTGTTAGTTGACTGCTATAAACTAGGGAATTTGATTCAAGGCTATATTTCTTAAACACCGAAAATTTTACGTAAAAGCTCATCCATTAAAAAAAAAGATGAAAAAACAAACACACAAGGGACGTATTCAAATACAAAACTGAACAATGTGTTATCCCATTAGATATCCATTAATCAATATCCTTGATTTAGATACAACCATATACGTACATATAATAATGATAATAGTAAATACACTTGGGAATTTGTGTATTTAATTGATCTAAGCTATAGATTACAATAATTATAATTATTACTAACATAATAATAATTAAATGTTCTCAAACTTTTATCATGTTTGATTTCGTTCAATCTATGTATGAATTATGAATACAGTAATGACATTAATAATAATACCCTTTATTGTGTTATATATGATCAAATTAATTAGTTTTTTAATCAGATCAGTGATATAGTAGTAGTAGTAGTAGTAGTAGTAGTAGTAGTAGTATAGATATAATCAACTAAAAACTTAATTGGGTATGAAAATTAAATAAGGAATTTATCATAAAATATCACTGATCTATGTTCAGTTATATTGTATTGAAAGTAAAGATTAGTCCATAATAATAATAATAATAATAATAATAATAATAATAATAATAATAATAATAATAATAATAATATCAATATTCATGATTTTACTACAATTACGAATAGTAAGTTTACTACTAATGTTAACAGTAATACTAATACTAATACTAATAACAATAATAATAATAATAATAGTAATAATAATACTAGTAATAAAAGGAGTATAAAATGAGGCTATTTTTTAATAGTAAATTCGAAGAATTAAAGCAAACAAATAAAACAGGTTACAGTATGATATGAACTTTGATAATATAGAATAAACAATAGAA